AACATTCCATTTCAGAAAACAGAAAGGAGCTAGGTATTCAGACCAAAATAGAAAATTAATTTCCCTATACTAAATACCTATAGGCGTGTTTTTCCAAGCTTGGAATAACTCAAGTCAGGCGAGCTGCTAATTGGCCTGATTTTTTTCAGAGCTGCTGGCAGGTCAGAATGTCTGAAAACCCAGACCATACTTATGTATATAAATATGGCTTTAGTTGCCTGGGAACACAAATGTGAAATATTATCTTCAAATAGCACTTACTCTATATATACATAGGATACAGGCAACTGCTCCTAAGCTGCGACATACCTGTCTTGCAGCAGCCACTACTTGCTGTTCATAGATATCTAGGTTTCTGCCCATGAGTTCCAGTGCAGACCGTCGATCAACCAGGGCTGTCGGGTTAGGACTCAGAATGGACTCGTGTTCATACACGGCAGCAACATAATGTCCTTCCCTCTTAACTCTTCCCGAGACAACTTCATAGCAAAAAAAGCAGACGGACAGCTTCCAGCACAGATCCACCGTGGTGTATGCCATAAATCTAGAGGGGAAAAAAACCAAACAGGTGGGGTGGGGGGAGCTGGAGCAACAAATAGTGCCAGGAATTTAAATTTACGATTAAATATGGACTGTAACTGAGACTCTTAGCACTGTTTGAACTGAGTGTGGTGTTTTTAAATTCCTGAATGGCCACATGCCTATTGTTTCTGAACCTTAAGTCTATCTATGTTGCTACTTTAAATAACCATGTCCCAATTTTGCTTCATATATACTTCTACTGACCTTGTCTCCCTTTCCAATAAACTTCATCATTTATTTATAGATCTTTCATACCATATATCAAAACATCTTTGGGAAAAGTTAAAAGCAGCTCGCAAATTTGCAGCTTCTCCCCCATTTGGTGGTGGGGGATGAATTTAAAAGCAGCATTTCCTAAAATTATTTGGACACAATATTTAGTAGTCAAGTAGTGATATAACTTATTTTATCAATACCAAAACAGAGAATTGCCAAAAGAATTACACTAGATACTACTTCTGCATTCATTTATCTTTCTATCAAGAAAATGCCTCTCCTGATGGATGATGGATTCATTCTATTCCATGTATATAATAAATAGACTAATATGTCTCATACAGTGCAGCTTTTCTCAACATTTAAAAAAATGTTGAGTGCATTTCAGATCTGCATTCCTCCTACAAAACCCAGATAGATAAGGTTAAAAATGCTTTCATACTAATAACAACAAAGCAAAAATCCATACAAAATGCAGAAAATTTGCATGACACAGCTCTCCTTAGAAAAAAATGAAAAATTAGTGAGTCCAGAAGGCTGGGGTACTCTCTCCCACATGGGCTCCCTGTGTAGCCTTTTGACTTCCCAATACTCACATAACAAGGGCAGACTGACACAGTCAATGGCTGTGCAATGCTTAAGGAATACTATAAAAATGCCATATTATTCTCACAATATAAGAATTCTCTACTTGTGTTACTAGTATCTTTAAGGAATTATATCTTGAATATGAAGCTGGAAGAGCATGCAAGAGAGATGCACTGATGCTATGTATTGATTGCCCACAGTCTTCTCAGTTACTGACTTTTTAATTGTATTTGCTCTTCGGTAATTCTTATCCAAGAAAAAAAAAAGTTCCAAAACATGCTTAGTGCTTTTCAATCTTTGTGATCCACAACTCCCTGAATTTTTCCAAAGCAAATACAGACTCTGAAAAACACACACCTCAAGAGCCTTCTCTAGTTCCCATTAGGAGTTCATCAGGAAAAAGAGATCAAATCATAACCTTAGTGCCTATGGTAGGCAGAAGACTTGTTTTCTCAACCAAAAATTCTTAGTGTGTAATAAGACTTGTAAAGGTCCAGGAGTAACTTAGCAATAGCTAATAGATGCTGCTAAGCTCAACTACACATTCATATTTTCTTGAGGTCTATTTTGCCAATGTGGCCATTGATACATGCCTTCAACAGTAAATTTAAGTTACCTAAAGCACAATAAAAACAATAGAGCCTCGGCATCTCTGTAAGCAGTTGTATTAAAGATACTACATTTATATAAACAGTTTTGAGAAGTGATGAGGATCCTACTTTGTCCTGTGCAGCTCAGCTTTGCAAATGAAATACCAAGGTACACGTGAAGACATAAAGCAGTAGCAGGGGGAGGGAAAAGAGAGGTGGGAAGCCTCTCACCAGTTAAGGAAGCCCCTGAAAATAAACACAGAGTGTTGCACTTCACTGACAAAACTATCTTTTCTATTTCTGTCATACCTTCAGAGCCAAAGCGCCTATTTAGGACAGGAATGGGTTCTAGTCAGCCGTTCCTCAACAAAGTTGTCAACTAAGATGTAATTAGAATTCATCATTACTAGTGGTGGAAAAACTTGGAGAGTTTCAGATCACAGGACAGAATTGCTATGCGTTAGAAAAATAGCCTTTTTGCCTTCTAAGACAAATACATTAACAACAAAAATTAACAGGCTGCTATAAAATTTTTTGTATTACAGATGTACTTAGAGAATCCTCATTTTTCTGCCACAGTTTATTTTCTGATGGTCAGAAACACTCCAAGTCCTAACCTGAATCCCTTCCTCATTTAGATACACAAGAGGTTTAGTACTGAACATCCGACTACGCAATCTCATCTGGATGAATCTGGGCCAACTAAAATAATAACTGAATAATTCTGCCGGGTCCTTATTCTTGGCTGTGCTTACTGCTAGTCCCACAGTCAATGGCTGAGCACTTACGTGAGTGCTCCCTTATGCCTTTCCCCTTTTTGACAGCTTAAACAACAGAACCCTGCCATCTAATGGATTGCTTCTAACAGGGAAAGCTGTGACAAGCTCCAAGGCTGGGCTTGGGGATAGTAACCTTTCCAGCCAAAATAAGGACACCAACAGGGTTTACTCAGCCCTTAGTCTGCAAGACTGAAGTAAATCTCAGCCACATCCTGGTTTTGTTTGTTTTGGTTTTTGTTTTTTTTTCCCTAACAGAAAGTGCTACAGTATCTAATAAATCCTTCCCTTGAAGAGCAGTTAATTTGTTTAGGGTCTTCAGAGCTGTCATCTCACCTAAGTTATGCCTTTAAAAGAAATTTTCATTAACTGAAACGCTTCATAATTTCATTTCTTTTTCTGTCCCTTTACTGTGATTTATGTGGTCTTTTGCCTGGCAGGTACGCTTCTGTAGTATCACCCAAATATAAGCATTTCATAGCAGTATTACTGCCATGCAGTCATAGTATTCTAGTTATAGTTCAATACAAAAGGTAAAGAGACTGGTGTTTAAGTTTGGATGCCAATTCAGACAAGTTTTTTCCCCAGTCAGAGTGCTTCCCCAGTCACTGTTTTCCTATTCAGCTGTTCAGAACCCTCTAATCTCAGTACACTGTGAAGTAAAGCAGTCACTCACTTTTCAACAACTTTGGAAACTTACAAGTTTATCAACTCTCACCATATATAGATGTAAACACGGAGAAAGGCAATACATACCCTGCTTCTTAGAACTTCTATACTCAAAAAAATCCAAGAGACTGTAAAAAGCAGCAGCAGCACAGCGCTACTCTGGGTCCTCTTAAGTGATTAATAGCAAATGCCTGTAGAGATATAGTAACATAAACACTAATTACTAGGCAAAATATTAAATTTTCTATGAAACAGTAAGTAAAAGTCTTTCTTACACTGAGTGATATCCATGAATTGTGAAGTTTCTGCCATTCTAACATATAGAATATATAAGACAACATCCCCTCTAGACATGTAAAAATACAGTGAAATTCAAGCTTTTTTCCCCTGATCCCTCCTGTCTACCGCTTTTATATGTTTCATTATATTTTAATACAGTATTTTACTATATAGATTTTAGGAAGGTGTTTTTTTTTTTTTTAGCAATGCAATCATAGCTCAATTGAAACAGGTATCTCGTATTTCCTGTTCTGAAAAATATTTATTCAGTGTGCATTGCGTTATATAACCTTCTGCTAGTTTCCTGGCTTTTATCCAGAGGTGCAATCTATATTTAAAGAATGTTGCCCATTCTAATATAATGTTTTATAAAATGTTGTCTGCATTTCACAGGATTCCTGAAATATGCTTTGTCTCTTTGTTTGTAATTAAAAGATCTACATTATCTAAGCTAATGACAGAGTAAGAATGAATTGAATGCTGCTGTTATTAGCGGTTCAGCTTGAACAACTCAAGACAGCTGCACAACCAGCAAGTGAGAGGATGGGGCAGCACATACTGTCAACTGTGTCACTTCTCTGACACCTGCAAGCTCAGCGTGGCCAGGATGGCCAGAGCCAGGTAAAATAATGGCGCACCATCCTTCAGGGAGGATTTTGGAGAAGTGTCTCACACTACTTTCCCGGCTCCTCCTCATGAATGCTGGCTTTAGGTGTCTTCATGTAAAATTACCTTGTACTTTGCCCTGCTCTGTGGTAGCGACCTCCGACCGACTCCACAAAGCTGGGACGTTACACCGCCGAGCCAGCCGCCCGAGTTACAAACCCGGCGGCTCCCACAGGCCAAGCGCGGCCTTAGGGGAGCCTGGGCCAGGCGGGGAACCCGATCGCCCTTTCCCACCTCCCTCGGTTCGAGACCGATCGCTTGGCTCCGAACAGCAGCCGGTCAGGCCCCGCCACCCTCCTCTCCTCCCCTTCCCTCCCCCTCACGCACCAGCCCCTCACAGACGCGCGCCGCCTCCGCCGCCGTTTAACGGCCGCCCCCCGCGCGCCACCGTGCCGCGAGCCTCACGCTGCGCCGCCTCGCGCTCTCATCGCCCCCTGGCGGCCGCGCGCCGCTTGGCACTGCGTGGGGGCCGAGGGCGGGCAGGAGCCCCCCCCGGCCTCTGATTGGGCGCCCGCGTCAGCCAATAGGAAGCTTCTCCAAGCCTGCCAACTGGGTCAGAGGCGGACACCCGCGGCCCCTCGGGCCCGCCCTCTCCGCTGTCTCATTGGCCGGGCGAGGTGCCAGTCAGCCGCACCCGACCTTCGGCCGGGGGTCGCGTTCCCTGCGCTTCTCCGGTGGGCGAACGGGGCCGGGCGGAGCGGGGATGGCTTCCGAGCCCGATGCGGAGGGGGAAGCTGTCAGCGGGGCTCAGGTCATCGCCGAGTCCCTCAAGGCTCAAGTAAGAGGGCAGGGGGACACCGGCGAGCAGCTTCGCTATGGCGAGTGGGCGGGGAAAGCTCCCGCGGTGCACGGGGCGGTCGGGCCGGGCTACGGGTGCCCGCCGGGCTGGACTCACCGTGGGCGCTCCCGCCGTTGTCCCGGGGGCGGGCACAGCGGGCGAGAAGGGCTGGCCCCGTCGCCGTGTGGAAGGAGGGAGGTGTCGCCGCAGCAGCAGCAGCTCAGGGAGCGGGCCCCGGCCTGGCCCCGCCAGGTAGCTGTGCCGCCGTGGGGTGGTGACCCCCCTGCCGCTTTCCCCAGAAGGGAACTTGTAGTTATTTTCCTCCTTCCTACGAGCTGGCGCCTTCCCCGCTCTCCTGATACCTGTGTTACCTGCCGACCGCCGTCTGCGGCGCTGGCAGTGGCAGCTCCGTCCCTGCAGCCGGCAGAACGCTGTGCTGTCTGACCTGGGGGCGGTGCCGAACTGACACCGGCCTCAACCAAAGGCTTTCTGTTTGGTCTGTGATACGCGAAAAGGCAGTTCGGTTGTAATAAGAATCAGCGTGGCGATGCTTGTTGTAATAAATGTAATAAAATTACAGGGCCAATGGGATCCTGGGCTGCATAGGGAAGAGTGTGGCCAGGAGGTCGAGGGAGGTCATTCTTCATCTCTACTCTGCGCTGGTGAGGCCACAACTGGAATACTGCCTCCAGTTCTGGGCTCCCCAGCTCAAGAGAGACAGGGAACTACTGGAAAGAGTCCAGCGTAGGGCAACAACAGTGATTGAGGGATTGGAACATCTCCCTTATGAAGAAAGGCTGAGAGAGCTGGGCTCTTTAGCCTGGGGAAGAGAAGGCTGAAGGGAGACCTTATTAATGCTTATAAGTATCTAAAGGGCAGTTTGAGGGAGGATGGAGACAGACTCTTTTCAGTGCTTCCCAGTGACAGGACGAGGGGCAACAGGCACAAGCTGCAACATGGGAAGTTCCGCTCAAATATGAGGAAGAACTTCTTTACAGTGAAAGTGACAAGGGCCCTGGAACAGGCTGCCCAGGGAGGTCGTGGAGACCACTTCTTTGGAGATTTTCAAGACCCGCCTGGATGCAGTCCTGAGTGCAATGCTCTGGGCAGTCCTGCTTTGGCAGGGGAGTTGGACTAGATGATCTCTAGAAGGTCCCTTCCAACTCCAACAATTCTGTGATTCTGTGAAAATAATGGAATAAAAATAAGTCCTTTCATCTGTAAGTTTCTTGGGCACAGTACCATCCCAGTTGTTTCTTGGGGCCTTTTTTTCAGCTAGTTTTCTGTGAAAGCGTAAGAACGTGCAGCGATTTGAGAAATTTTCAGAAGAGATAAAGTTGACATACTGAGAAAAAGTAAGATGGTATAGCAGAGATATCCGGTCAGTTAAAAAAGCAAAACATACTTGCCTGAGAATCTGGGCTGAACAGTTGTGGAAGCACTGGATTTTAGAGACCTTCAAGCAGTGGAACAACTGCGGAGGGCTGAGCTGCAAACACTATTCCTACAGTGGCCTGTGAACTTCTGTGTGAATATATATATATTATTACGATTTACTTTTAGACTGTATAGTTAGTATGACTGTGTTTTACATGTTTGTTAAAGCTATCTTTTTGGAAACAATTCTGATTTCTTCTAACATATTTCTTTTTAGGATATTGAATACATGTTTGGCATCGTTGGTATTCCAATCATGGAAGTTGCAGTTGCAGCCCAAGCAGTTGGAATAAAATATGTAGGAATGAGAAATGAACAAGCCGTAAGTATAGACCTATAATAGGACCAATTCTTTCTTTTAAGTCTTTTACAACAGAATGAAATCTAATTTACCTTTTTACGAGGAAGAATGTGGTCTCTGAACATTCCTTGAAAGAACACGTAGAGAAGCAGTTACTGTCATTCTAGAGTAAAGGAGAGCACTGGTGGATTGGGTTGGGTTTTTCTTTTCCCCGTTCCATTGTTAAGTGCTCCCTCCTTTCCTCATAGGGAATTGCAACTTTTTTTTCCCATTTTTTAGATTCCTTTCTCCAATAAGGGAGAGAAGGTAGGATGGAAATAGGGATAAAAAGAATATGAACAAAGCATTCTACTGCAGAAAGAAAAAAATGAAAAAATTTTGTTCCCGTCAAGTAATAAGATTGTCAGATCTTATCTGCCACTTTTTTGGGGGGTTCATTCATGTTTTTTTGTTTTCCTGTAGTTTTTTGTAGGCTTACCAAGATCCTTCTCCCTTAAATTTTTCTACTGTCATTTTCTTTTGCTGATGTCATCCCTTCCAAATTAGGACAATATTATGATTCTTTCTAATTGGTAGTGTTTTAATTCATTTTTTAGAGCTTTCTTAGCTACTTCTTTCCTTTTTGTTTAGGAGGATGTTTTACTTATGAGTTACTACCTACAGGCCTAAAAAGGTAGATTTTTCCATGTTTCTGTTCTGTTCTTGCAGTGCCCAAAGAGGAAAGTTTTCCAGCTGATTAACTTGTCTTGACTATTTTCAATAATTGTAGTATTTTTTTTCCTTAACTGTGTTTTAAAAGCGCACCAAACAGCAAACCATATGTACACTTAGACAGTCTTAATTGTATATATTTCAGGTTCATTGTCTAGGTATCAGAAATTAGACTCAAGCCCATTTTTTGATGTTATGTTGAATATAATCACCTCGAGTTTATACCTCATTTTCAAGGATTGCTAAACAAGCTGACTCTGTATTGGATTGCTAGCAAATGGACCATCAGCTTTCCATACTCAGAGTTGCTCTACTACCTTTGTCAATTTTCTGTAGCTGATGCCAACAAATAAATAAATGGTTGGATTATTATCTTATCAGGAGATTTTTCTTGTATTTTAACTTGTTTATGGATCCTGTCTCTCTATGAACACTATTAATGAGGATTTTACCACTTTTACAAGGACCTGCACACTCAGGTGCCCGTATTTTGCAGCAGTGTTCTTTTTCCACTGTGTAGTTCATCACCTTTGTGAATTGTCCCAGATGCAACATACTAAAATAGTAGTTCTCCTAAGTCAGGTGGTCACAAGCTGTATGTTTTTGCTGTCTAATCCTTACATCTTTACATTGGAATGTGAGAACTTAAGAGAGGAATGCATGTCTATGGAAAATCTGTAACGTGAGAGAGGCAAACATATACAAAAAGGTTTAAAAGGTGTATTTGATTCCTTTGAACAACTGGGAATTCAAAACAGTCTGTATATTCCTGTAGGCCATTTAGGAAGTATTCTAGTTTTAGCTTTGGTTATTAACATGATTAAAATAAATTTCCTAATGTGTCTGTAATCAACAGAGAAGATATTTTTGCACTGCCAAATGAGATGCTGTCCTATTTTTCACTTTTTACTAGACTCTTTTCAGTTAGTGAAGAAGTCAAGAAACATTCTTGTCTGTAAATGGTGAGATGCTTTTGCTTAGGGGAATAACAATCACATGAAGACTTGCTTTAACATCAAAATACTAGGGTTTCTCTTCTTTGGGGGATGAAGAAGGATGAACAAAGATACACCTTGTAGTGGGTTTTGTTTTGTTCTTTGTCCTCAGTGAAGACATAGAGTGATTGCTTGGCAGAGGAGAGGGTAAAAGATTATCCACAGTATATTCAGAAACAGTTAATGTTTACACATCATAGTTTTAATTGTCTAAGTTTATTAGTTGTGTGGTCTGGCTGTGGAGGATATGTATACCGTTGTTTTGTTGCTTCCTTTTTGATAAAGGCAGCCATATATGGTCTGAGATATATGGAAACCAGAGGGTTTTTTCCAGGGGTTGAGTTTCTGCCTCATTTCTAAGCCAGATTTAGCAAAAGCCCATAAAACTGCAGAATAAACTGTTTGTCTAGAGAGACCAGGTTAAAGAATGAAGTTAAAAGCTAAGTAGTACTACCAGTACCTGTTACCTAATGTCCTGCGGCCTGGAACATGCCACAAGTTTGCCAGAGGCAGTTTAACCTGTCCCCCGTGTGCCCCTTGAACATTGACTGCTTGTGTTGCAACTCGTTATGGGGGTGTGTTTTGTGTGTCTGTCCCTGGGTAATTAGAGGTTGCTGTGATTGTTTATAAGGCTAATAACCCAGGTCAGTTTTAAACTTTAAAAAAACCCTTTACTCTGTTGTTTACATTAACAACACATGTTGCTAATGTTTAGTTCTTAATCTTTAATAATAATTATCACTACATATTCAAAGCAATCTCTTATTGATAATTGTATCCTAAGTTAGGCATGAATGTATGCTGGAGCTGGTACAGTGGTAGTTAGCGCGGGTGGTACTGGCTGTCAAGGGAATCAGACTTGAAAACTCTTCAGTAAGGGCCACTGGAACCAAAGTGGACTTCTTTTTTCTCCACCCCTTAGATTCAACATCTCCTTTGATCTCTGAACAGGTCTTTGGTGTCTGAACAGATCTTGGCCTCCATGCCTGGACTATGGACTGTGTGGTGCTGAATGGGTGTTGCTTTCCCAGGCCAAGACAGATGCCTTATCCTGTTGCACATCGGTTCATTGTTGGGGGTTTTTTTCCTGCCTTGCCTAGCCATTGCTGCTTTTCCTAAAGCAAAAGCAGTGTCTTCCCAGCTCTCAAAATTACACTTTTTCAGTGGCCAGTAATTGGCCATCAGCAAGTTGCTTATTCTGGGACTGCTGCTTTAAACCTCTTTCCCTATTTTCAAGGCCTGCACTTAGGTTGTATGTCATAACCAAAGACACCACGTACCAAGCTCAGTTTCATACAGCAACTTCTCATAACAAGTTGATCACAGGGACATTTAGCATTAGGTACAATTAACATGAGGGCTTCAGGCCTGCTCTTAGGCCTGGCAGTGCTATTTTGACTGGGCCACTAGATAAAAAAATCCGTAACCATTGTTTCCTAGCTATGTTGTATTAGTTTGCTTACGTTTGAGTTGAAGACAAACTAATATAATTAAACCCTACTTAATGTGCTTTGACTTGTGTGGGAGCAACAGGCCTCTGCTTTTGTTACAGTTCTAACCCATCACTCATGGGTGGTTGCAAACTTTAAGGTCAATGCCTGTGTCTGGACCCCCTACGTTTCTTCCTAACATCGATTGTGGGTTTGGTGGTCATTAGCATTTTGTATACCTACATCCTTCTTGCCTGAGGAAAATAAGTGTCTGTTTTCAGCTGTTCAGCTGTGTTGTGACCTTTACAGATAATATGAGAGCCATTACTCGTATTTTAGTGGTGGGGGTGCAAGGTTTATAGGTAAAATGGATTTTCTTTCTTACTGTTCACACACACACAAAAATCTTTTTAGTATACCTTCAGAATTATTTATGATCTCCTTTCCTCTAAATGCAAATAGACTTAGTAATGATGCTTTCTTTCAGAATAAGGCAGTAAAAGTTTTAATGGCAATGACTGTACATGAACCCAAATTCTATGTGCTGCTTTGTTTTGTCACTCAGTTCTAAAAAAATGATTGCCATGGAAACTCAGCACCATGCTTTGAGCTTCATTAACAAGATTTTTAGTAACGCCTACTCTGAATGTTTCTAAACTTTTGCACGCGGATGTGTCATCAAATTGTTACCTAATTTTTGAATATTAGCAACATTATCTTCTCCATGTCAGAGAATTGCAAAAAGTAGAGAGATTTTTCTTGCCAATATACTTTTTTTGTTAGCAATTCCCTATCCTAATGCTGCAAATAAAATAAGGGATGCTTATTATTCCTCTACTAAGCCCCACATTTTTCTCAAACAGTTGATCTGCATCTGAAGGAGCATGAGCATATTAAGGACAGTTTCTCCTGTGTAAAAGCTTAGAATAAGTCTGTGTTTTCACTGATTTAAGCTGACATTGCTAACACGCTGTATTACCTATGACTATTCATAGGTTTGAGGAAAGTGCTTAGTACTTTATAAATTTTTAGGAGGAGCTTTTGTGTTACTCTTCTTACCACAATAGTACTGAAATAAAATTAAAAAAAACAAAACCCCAACTCTATTTCAAAATGAAAGAGGCAGGCTATAAGGCCAGGAGTTTACTTTTTTTTTTGGCAAAATGATGTTTTTCCTTTAAGCGTTAGAACTTGCTGAATGCAAGAGAAAAGCATGAGAATAGGAGGGAGGGAGTTGGCAATGTCAGATGTGTGAATCCTGTGGAGTTCTCTGGTCGCCTGTAAGCTTCTGTTTCTACTTGATCTCCTATTGTCTCGTTACGAGGTGAACTTTATATGTGAATGTTTTATATTACTACAGGAATAGTATAAAAATGTACTTTGTAGTAATACTGCCGCTAAGATGTGTTAACACATGTTGTAGGCATTACTTTTGTAAGAATTAGTCAGAATGCAATTTTTCTTTAAAATGTCAAAGTAGCTAAATCTGTGTGATGCCAGAAATGGGGTTAGAAGTACTTCAGCAGTTTAGCTTGTAAAAAACAATCCCTAATCTTCTAATTAATTTCTCCAGAGTGTGATTTCAACCTTTTTCTCAATTTCTGAAATACGAGTCATTCCAGTAATGGCTGGATTTCTGTTTATTGCCTTTCTCTTGTAAATCCCTCTTCCATGTTAGTGTAGAAGGCAGAATATGCTGTTCTGTTCATTTTGCTTCCCTGGTTATGGGGGTTTTCTTTTATGTTGTTTTGTTTTGTTTTTTAAATCATAAATATTCCTAATGTCATATCCTGGAACAACAGAAGCCTGAAATGTGGAGACAAGTTTTGAGATTTTTCATATAAGCTTTCATAAAAACACCTTGTAATGGGGAGGGCGAAGGGGTGCTTCTACTTATATTTAAGCTATAATAATCGGGGCAAAATCCATACCTGCGTATTTTCAGTGTTTTTGTTGAAAGTTTTGTACAAGATATCATGAAATGTATATATAATTATAACTGTATTATTAACTCCAGTATTTCCAATAGGCCTGTTATGCTGCATCTGCTGTTGGATATTTGACTGGCAGGTACATTCCATACTTATTTATAATGATATAATAATAACTGTATTAGACTCAACAGTTAGAAGCTAGGAATGCTTTTCTGTTTCGGAACTGGGTGTTCTTAGTGTGTGCAGATGTAGGGCAGTTAAAACACAACATGGATTTAAAAATAAATGTCAATAATGGTTACCAATATTTCTATTGCTATGATTCAGGGCAGGAACAAGGAGGTGCTTATGCTTATGTAATATTGTTAATCTTATAACTTTCTTTACTTTTCTCTTTTAATTTCTGAATATTAGTTTAACACCACTGGTATGAGAGGCAAAAATCAGGCCACCATCACTCTCTCGCAACTTGGTGGACCTTCTATACCTTAATCTCATCATCTGGGTGTATTATTCTAAAAATACCATACCAATACACAGACTGATCATATGCCTTCCAGTCTCCCCTGTGCTGCTTTTGACACGAAATACCGTCTTTCCTCTTTTCTACTGCATTTTGTGCTTAATGTTATTGGGAAGTATTCCGTGGCCTGTGTCTTGTGAGGCCATGGGGTATCCCATGGATCCTTTTCTGAATTGAATTTCTGCTGTCTGCTTGCTCACAGTGGCAGACCTGATGATGCAGGTGTTTCTTATTCTGTCTGTAAGCATGACACCTGTGTTTCTTAAACTGTGTTTTTTAAAACTATTTTTTTACAGTTTTGTAGTTTTTCTTCCTGTGAATAATCCTCTGGAAGTAAGCTCAATTTTTTTTCTGATATGTAAAGAGTCTGTAAAGCTATTAAAGAATGCTCAGTAGTTACAAATTGTCATTGTCTCATCACCTGGAGTAACGAGTGCCTCTTCCTGAATTAATCTGTAATAAAATTTATCTTGAATCAGATGCGATTCTTCCTTTGTGAGCTTTCTTCATTGATATCTAGTACTAAAGTGGAGTTTAGAAAACTGCAAACCTAAGCGGCTTACCATACTCCATATAAATGTTAGATGATGGAATACATGTAATAAAAGAAGTAAGGAGCTGTGCTATGATGAGCCTGCGTGTGGGTGGCACTTAACAACTGTTCGCTTGCTTTTTCAATTGGGTTGATACAGCTAAATGGTTTCTGATTCCTATGTCTATCTTTAGTCCTTCTTACAAACCCCTTGCTGTTAATGCATTTTCATGACACGAGTAAAACTTTAGTAAATGCTGAAATGTAAAATATTAGTTTTTGTTGGTGATTTAATCGGTGTTCCCTGTGCTCACTTTCCTTTTCTATCTCCCTTTTTTGTTTGTTTTTCTCTAGACCTGGGGTATGTCTTGTAGTGTCCGGTCCAGGATTTTTACATGCCCTTGGTGGGATGGCAAATGCAACCATAAACTGCTGGTAATTTAAATACATTTTCCCTTTAAAATTCTAATAATTGTTTGCTGTTATTTGTTGCAGATGTTGAGGTCTGCAGTATTTAATATAGTGGGTTTTTTTCTTTCTTGTGGGTAATGAGAAAGGAATTCTTCATTTATCAACCCTAAAAGTAATTTAGTTTCATTTTTTGTATTCTTGTGGATAAAATTCTCCTTTTTGTCCTACCCCATTATGTCTATGTTGGAAAATCTATCAGTATACCTGATTGTATGGATACCGGCGGAAAATGAAGTCAATATTCAGCCTGTAATGCTTTATTGATCGTGGAGAGTCTTAAAGGTTTTTTCTAAATTTAAATCCACGTTGCCTTTAAATTACTGCATTTCATATGTGAACAAATTGACAACTGCATTGTTAAAATCCATATTTGCTCCCCACGCAGACATTTAGAGCAGTAATTAAGTATTGAATTAAATGATATACAGAGTGATAGCATTTACTCCCACAAGCCTTCACTGAGACATGGCAGCTTTAGCTGGTCTGCTGCTGAAAGCTGGTCAGAAAGCTGTATTTTGGGCAGAAGCTCTGGTAATCCTGTGCGCATGTGATCTGGAGCATTAGATTAGCAGTGGTGGATCAGGAAGGGAATAATAATGGGATAATGGGAACACTAATAAATCACGTCTCTGACACTTTGAAAAAAGACCTCCAGTGTTCAAATTCTTTTTTAAAAGATGAGTTATTGACTACAAGTTTTGCTGTCCTTATGTGATAAAAAATTAAAAGATTAAAAAAAAACCTGTATGAAACCTTGCTTTTGAACAGTTGTGGATTTGGTTATAAGAGAGAAGCATTCATGGAACTTGCTTATGGATTTGCAGGAGACATTTCTGTTTTCACACGACCTGAGTTTTGTCTGAGATAAGCTCTCTTTACTTGACTTGATCTTGTACTAGCCTGTACTCTTGGAAAAAGGCAAAGGGGATGACTTACCTGGTTTGGCAGATGTAAGTGTATAGTAAGATGGCTGGTTTTCACTGACCAAGCCACAGTGTTTGGCCAGTCATTATTTTTGTTGGTCACATCAGTCTTGCCTTTTGCCTGCCATGTGCCAAAAGGAGAGAAAGAAGCATTCAGAAACGCTAAATTTAGCCTGATGAAACTATTTTTCCTTGGCTCCTTCATTAGTAGCCATCTGCATTGGGCATTTGAGAATCCCAAACATGCTTTCACATTTACTTTTGGCTGGCATTACCATTGTAGGTGGTGCGCCTTGGAGAGGAAGGCTGAACATTTTTCTGTTAACTCATCAGCTTTCTGGCCTGTTTCACTAGACAGCAGCATGAATGCTCAGGCAGGCACTACGGAGAAGGAATGTTACAAGGGAGGAGCAGAAGTGGCCCAAGCAAAGGAAAAGAGAGGAAAATACAATATGCATTGGGCATTTTGGTTACACTGATCTAATGCAGTCTGCTGCACAAAGGGACATCTCCACACCTTTCTCCTGGCCGTGGCCTCCTGCTTCTTGCCCTCTTGACAACTCTGGCACTTGTCTGCTCAAGCAGTCGCATTTAGTCCGTTATCCTGGCAAAAATCCAAGGCAGCAAAATATAAGTAAAAACAGTCATGTTAGGTAAGTGATCTAAATCAGCTCACGCTGCATTCAGGCGAGCATCAAGCACCTAGGCAAGGGAGGGAGTGGATTCTGTGGCTGGGAGCAGAAGTTAGAGGGCTCTTCACCTTTCTGTGGCAACAAGGTGTGAAGTCTCCTGCTGCATAGCATCTCCTGTGAGGAAGTGGCCTGAGGAGACCAATTTGTAGGGCAAGGAGACCAATTTGTAGGGCAAGGTTAACCCTCATCAGTATCACCCAGGTGTCATGCAATTCCATGGCGTTACAGCTGGCATTGTTAACATGCTGCACTGCCTGAGCTTTGGCTCATTCTCACAGAAGTAAGCTAATAGTTGAACTGGCCCTGCTGGTTCTGACTTCGAATAACTCAAGACTAAGTGATAGTCCTTAAAGCTCGGTTTGAGTTGTCCTCCTTGAGCCTGGAGATGCATTCTTCTGATTCTGCTCCATTTCAGTCTCCTCCAAGTGAAAGAAACCTCTTCAGTATCCACTTGAAAGAAATTCAAGCAGTCTGAAAGCACAGTTTGCTACCATTGTTCTTTTGGATTGTGTTGCCTGAGCACAGGTTGGCTAAGGAGAAGAGTCTTTGGTTTTTCCTGGAAGCTTGTCACGGTGAGCTCTTGGACGTGTAAATTTAGCCACCTAGGTAGCTTAATTAGGCCTTGATAAACTGCATTTCCAAGCATAAAACCTTTTGGTATTTCATTTTTAAAAAATACCTATAGTGCTGCTGCCTTCTCTCCTGCCTCTTTCTGAGCAAAAGTTTTCGTACCTCATTTTGGCTGGGAGAATACACTCCAAAGAGGAGTTTGCAGTAATTTTAAGATTTCAGTATACAGTGGCAAAGAGAAATACCATGCTCTTTAGCTGAGGTTGCAGTTGACTTTTTTTTTTTTTCCAGTTTACTGAAGTTCTTCTCCTGAAAGTACATAATGCTTGCTATTCTTATTAGTTTAATTGTAGTCAATGTTTATTCCTGCCTGACTGTTGTTTTTCACTTAAACTGCATCCAGTAATAAGCACAGCTCTTGAAAATGTCTATGGGATTGGGAAAGTAATACAGCATGATGATTTCAGTGAGAGAAAAACTTCTTCCTGCTTAAAATTATGTAAACTTTCAAAGCACAACCAAATCTTTTCAAGGGATAGCTGTTGGAGTTGGCTTGCTTAAGAGTGTTATCTTTGTTATATTTCAGTACCGGGAAGCAGTAGGTATTTTGTTTATTGAAACTTTTTAATAAATTTGAAAAGATAAGTGAAAGGAACACAGGGTTTGCCACTGTGAAACAGACTGGTTATATATGGAGAGTCATAATCATTTTGCTGAGGGGAGAAAATCAGCAGAAAAAATTATATAGAGTATACACCAAAAAGGTTTTTGATAAGGATTTTTCATAGAGGTAAGATATAGCCTGAAGTTCTCGTCTCACTGTGTCAGGGGATTAGAACTGAGATCTTTTGATTTGTGGCAGAGAAATGGCCTGATTATGAAGCTTGGATCTAGATACACATACCCCCAAATTGTATGGGTGATTGAATTTAGCCTGCACTGAGCACGCTGTAAATGTTTCAGCTTAACACCTTGTATAGATAAATGCAGTCAAAGGAAAGATGGTATCTGAAGAGAAATTGGTTAGGAGAAATAGCCTAGGAAGCTATTGACCCAATATTTCAATTTAGTGTGGATGAATGAGCAGATTAATAAACCAGATTTCTCTTAAATCAGGATTTAGCATTTTAAGGAGTCTGAGTTTGACTTATGAACTGAATAAAATTAGAGTTTTCATTCACTGTAGGACAATAATTTATTGTATTTTGTGGAAATTATAATAAAAATGTGTTCCTGTGGAATATATAACCAATATAGTAAACTAATGCTACCTTTCTCACATAGCTATGAATCACAGAATGAACTAATTTAAGAACAAGGACCACTTGTAGGCTTGTTAAATTTTTTTTCATCTCTTTGGATTTTGTTTTTTTGGGTTTTTGTTGTTTGTTTTGGTGGGGTTATTTTTAGTAAAAACCAAATGCAGTGAGAAAGGTAGAAGTACTGTCAGATACTCTGCTGTGTTCCAAATTGTATATGAAGAAAATCTAAGCTTTCTGGGAAGATTGTTTTCTAATGTATTTCTTAGCTATAGTGTTTGAGTGCATTACAATACCTCTTATGAACAAAATCTTCATACTTTTTGATCAATCAATACTTGTTAGCTTTTTAGATTAGCTGTTATCATTCCTTTCAAACCATCTTGTCACCTGTGTCATCCAACTTTAACAAAAACTGCTAGCAGTGTGGCTTGGTTTTAGAATTTTTATGCTAGATGTGGATCACTTGATACAGCCAGATTGTCCTAAAACCAGTGGACCAAAAGGTGCTAGGAAGTCTGCTGGCTGACATGCTGGTATTTAGAATCCCCTCTTGTATTGTACTGGTCACTTTCTATTCCTGTTGAGATCTGTGGATGCTGAAGGTGCTCAATATCCCAAGAACAGTAGGATTTGACTGTCAGGAGAGTTTACAGATGTGATTGCCATTACAAAATTCATACGTATGCTTAAGGTTGATTGTTTTGTTGCTTTTTATATACTTTTCTAGGCCCTTGATTGTTATTGGAGGCTCTTCTGACAGAAATCAGGAAACCATGGGAGCTTTCCAAGAATTCCCACAGGTACACAGGCATACAATTTTATTTAACTGACATCTTTTTGTACAATTGGTGTTGTTTCTTCATTAGTGTAAGCCTAACAATCCCAAACACTAACATTTCCTAACAGATTCTATAATGCGGTCCATTTGCTCCATCTACTGGTTTAAGATTGACAATGCATATATTTAGAGTATCTTTGTCTACAGTCATGTTAGAATTCATGCTCTACTTCAGGTTCTCAGCTGGTATAAACTGCTTTTGTGTGTCTGTTCTGAGATAGAAGAAAACAAAATAAACTTTCCAAAAAAAGAAGCACCAGTTTCTGTAAAAAAAATACCTAAGCACTCAGTGGAATTAACTATGGCTTTGACAATTTCCACCAGCTGAGCATTTTTTGGTGGGAGTTTTCAACTTGTTGCTTTCAATTTGGCTTTTTTTTCTGTTCATGTTCTGTGGGGTTTTTTTGTTCATGTTGAAATGAGATGGAAGTGAAAAAATTGCTTTGATAAATTTGATAATCAATATTGATTTGATAATCCATATAATGGTTATATATGTTTATTCAGGTTGAAGCTGGTAGGCTGTACAACAAACTGTCTGTCCGCCCAAGCAGCCTAGAAGTTATTCCTGCTGTTATTGAAAAGGTATGAAAAAATACTAAATTAGCAACAAAAAAATGAGTAACTGTCTCTTACTATACAAGCTTTGAGGATTTTTTTTTGATAGCTGTTACTGTAAATAGTTTGATCCTGCAGATGTTAGGTGGTGGTTGATTGAATAAATTAACAACCAGGAAGGTTTTTCCTATGAACTGTGCTATGCAACAGGTTAGAAATAAAATCTGGTCCAATCTGATGCTTGCTGATCTCTGCAGCATTTTTTGGTAGCTACGGTTAGAGCTGGAAAGATTTTAATGAAAGAAATGCCTTTAGGGAGAGGTGCAAGAACTAGAAATGCAATACCACAAACTTAGCTCTTTTACCACTCCTATTATGTGAAGATTGGGAGGAGTGAGAGTGGAGATGGTTGGGTTTGAGGGTTGGTTGTTGGTCTGAGTCTTCTGAGAGACCAAGAGAAAATGCATCCTTATCTCAGCACTTCAGAAAGGGTTAAAAAGTATCTTACTACTGCTGTAGCAATGCTTTAGTCATGTCAGCCTAAATTCTGCATACAATGATGCTGTTTCCAGAAGTACAAGTCCAGCAAAGCATCTACCTGTAGTAGAACTGGAATCAAAGGCAATAGAAGGTAGACACATTGATTGTCTTTGGTTTTTTTCTGTTTGTGCTACTTTAAATAGAATTTAGCATGAAAGTTCAGTATTTCTAGACACAACAGCTGATAATGCAGTTGTCTCATTGTAAATTAAACAAAGAATTTGTAGTCCAATACTGGGTCTACTGAAAGGCTTCAGATGGTATGTAGTGGAAAATGTAAATAGCTATCAAAACTTGAATTCATTGACATAAATCAATCCATGGGAGCTTTCCCTGTGTTGGTTCAGCAATATGAAAGAGCATGTTCCTTTTCTGCCTGCTGAACGGTTTTCTTGCTTTTTACATAAGAAGTTTTTTTAAATCCTTTCAAAAAGTGGTTCAAACTGTGATAATCTGTTTTCTAGGCTGTAAGAACCAGCATATATGGTCGTCCGGGTTCCTGCTATATTGACATACCTGGGGATTTTGTGAATCTTCAGGTGAATAAGAGCTCTGTCAAGTGCGTAAAGATTATATTCATTGTTTTTCAAGTCACCAAATAAAAGACATCTTAGTTTTAAGTTACTTTTATATTTTCTCAAACCAGTACAAACAAGATGATGATAATCAAGAGCAAGAGATTAAATAATATGCCACAAGGCTGAAATGATACTAAAAATCCAGCCTCTAAATGTAACATTGCATCATAACATGTCATATAGATTATAGTTTGTAATGACATGTGCAAAAGGAATGAATTAATATGATGGTAGTACAATGATGTCACTTTGTAAATCTCTGGAACAACGCTACTTATAAGATTAAAGAAACGTGCAAGAAAAACTTCAAAGCCTGTTTTAAAAGATGTATCCTGTTCTGATAAATGCACTGAGTAGTATGGTGTGCAGCAGGTGCAGTTTTATGCTAAACAATAGGTTTTATCTTTCAACATTTCTTGTTTTGAATTTTTTTAGAGCCTCTTTTGTTTCGCTTGACTTCCAGGTACGTGGAATGCTGCCTGCCACCTCCCATTAGCACGGCTGAAGACTCTGCTGTATCTGAAGCAGTGTCTGTCATTGCTCATTCCAAGCAGCCTCTGCTAATCATTGGAAAAGGTACCACGCTTTGAACTGTACAAGTTTGGGACAAGAACATGGACCAAAGTGATTTCTTTACCCCATAAATATTAGTAATCTCTTTCACACTTTATTAAAGCAAACAAACAAAAAAGCCCAAACAAACTTATTTGAAATTTGATGTTAAAATCTACTCTGTTCTTAGTAGATCTGTTCTGTTGTTTAACTTGTCTTTATGGTCTAGGTTAAGAGAGAAGTCAATTGATGAAATACAGGTTTAAGCAGAAAAAACCCCAGATAACCATTGTTTTAAGGATAGGGCCAATGCCAAAGGATCACTTCCAAAATTCCAAATAAATTCTGTCAGAATACAGAAGTGATATTATCCCTCTGATGCTCTGGCCTATATAGCAAGAATCAGAGTAACCAAAGATAATTTTTCCATAGACTTATCGAAAGTGGTGGCCTGCCTGTGTGTGGACAAGAAGCAACGCAGCAGGTGTTGCTGTTATTACTGTTTTACAGTCTCTCTGTTGTCCTCTGCCAGTGTAGTTAATTCCTGAAATAGAAGTGTCCCAAAAGAGAGAGGATAAATATTCTCTGTGCTGGTTTGCTTATTTTGTCCTTCCTTGTGGAATGTCAGTCACTGCAGTGGCATTTCTGCTGCAGATACTGGTCTACTAGGAACAGAATTTAAATAACCAACCTGTTTCACCCAGACTGTTCTTCTGCAGACCTGGAAATTATCTGTATCTTGGAGAAAGGTTCTATTTTTAACTAGGGAGTGAAATGATTAAGATAAGATGTATCTTATAATTGATACAGTAATGAAAGAGTAGGCAGAAAGTAGATCAGGAGAGGTTTCTTTCCCCTCTCTCTGGCTTGATACCCATGAATGAAAGGGTATTCTTTGAACGTGAAAGGTAGAGAACTCAAGTACATAGGTATGTGTTTTGTTGTTGTTAACAATTGAGAAATACTGTGTTTTCTTCAAATCTGCATAACAAATTTATTTGGACTTTCTGCTGTATGTTGTTGCTAGCAGAATTTTGGGGAGAAATAGAGAAGTTTAATGTTCAGGATATAAGACTCATGGACTAGTCAGTTGTTCTAGATTGCCTGCGCAACTTTGGTTCAGCAGCCATGTACTGAAGTTAGTATCACAGTAAATGTGTGCATAAACATACCTTCACAAAGTCTTCCTTGGGCTTCTCTCTTTTTTTATTAAAGACCTGTTGGGGCAGATTGTTATGGAGCATGTAATAAAACAGGGTGCAGGGGGTAAGCTAAAAATGACATGACACGACACTAAGGTCATCTCCTGTTGCTGCTGCAGAAGTCTCTGTCCCATAATACAGAACTTCACCCACCCAAAATTGTTATTTTAGATAAAGAAAATCTATTTTTCCTTGCCGTGCTTCACAGGACTAGCTGATATAATTCAACTGAAAAAACTTTTTTCAAAAATATGTGAAATTTGAACCCAAATACCCGTAGTTTGGCATTTTATGTTTTGAGTTCCCCAGAATGAAAAATAACAGGCCGCTTTCATAATGGGAAATAGTACTCTCTTTGCCACTAATGTAATCAGGTTAATTGAAATTCATGCGAATGCAGTAGGTTTGTGTAGTATTAAGCAGTCTCTTTCATTTCATTCAGGTGCTGCTTATTCACATGCTGAAAACAACATCAGAAAGTTGGTGGACCTTTGTGGACTGCCTTTTTTGCCTACACCAATGGCAAAAGGAGTAGTTCCTGATAACCATCCAAATTGTGTAGCTGCAGCGAGATCAACGTAAATATAAAAACAGGTTCTAATCCTAACATCTGAGGAACAACTAGGAATTGTGGTGGTCTACAGATGTCAGGGAAGACAAAATGCATACAACAGGGTATCAGTTCAACAATGCATACAATAAAAATTTTTCAACATTTTGCACTTCATTTTAGAGCACTGAAGATCTTGTTTGGAAAGAGACAACAGATTGCTTTTGACAATGCTTAGAATGCTGGCCAGGAATATAATTTATCTGAGAGCTAATATTCTGTAACTGTGAAACCTATGGCAAGTAGATTTGTCCATGTTGTTAGTATGTATTTCATAACATAAAGTGAAACTGGTAAACAGTTCATGTTAAACATTTAACTTAGTCCACTAGACAAACTACTAACTTTTTATTTTACCATAAACAGAAGCTTAAGATGCACACATTGCATTTGAAGTTTTGCTATCTGCTGTCTCTGCATGGTGTTTGCAATACACCATCACTAAATTGCAGTTTATTTTAAAACAAGAATAAGGTATTTCAAACTACACTGAAGGACTTCTAATAGCTCTTTTGGGCAAAATTAATGTGAGTGAACTATAAGAATGCTACTAGGTGTGAATATGTGCAGAGTCAGCTTGCAGATCGAGCATTTATATACTTGGAGATTAAAATATTGTCCATTGTTGAGCATCTTAGCATTACCACTGTTAAGAAAAATGGATAATAAAAGAATATACCAAATATTGTCTATCCAGTTGAAAGGTAAAGTAACAGGAGTTAAACTGAGAGATCAACAACAATCTTAGTTTCAGCACCCACGGTTGTCAGTTTTTTGCTTTAACCTCAGCATTATTATAGCATCTTGTTAATCTCATAGTGTAACAAATCCTTTCCCAAACAGAGTGTATTAGGAAAATAGTAATGAATTTCTTCTTGGGTTCCTAAACTCATTAGTGGCTTGATGATTGGCTATGTAAAAGGATACAGGGTTTTGGGGCTAAGCAAGCAGCTTAGAGGTAGGAAGGATTATATGTATATTCTGGGGTTTGCTGTGGTGGTTAAGATTACTTCTAATTTTGAAAACACTATTAAATTTAATAATAATTCTTCCTTATCTGGTTTCCATATTTCCCTTTATTAGGGCATTACAGCATGCTGATGTAATCATCTTGCTTGGTGCAAGGTTGAATTGGATCCTGCATTTTGGTCTTCCACCAAGGTTTCGACAAGATGTAAAGGTTATTCAGGTAAGCAGGAGATTGGTGATCACTTGGAAGAAGTCTTCTGTGTTCTAGCATTGCCTAGAGCAGTTATTGAAAATTATTTTGGAAGTGTGCTTCATGTGGCAAATACTGCCCAATGGACAGTACAGTGCATATAGTTATGGGCGTTCTCCAGAAATAGTTCTATCTTCTTTAATTATTTCTTTTACCTCCTTATTTTTCCCTAAAAATGGTTACAGTGGTTTTGCAGCTATCAAGGCCTTGGTGCTGCTGTAATGAGGAGGGCAGACACTTCTGTCTGGTTGACTAATACAGGATTATACTCATGATACTCGTGTGATCTTTGGAGCACTGGGATTTCCGTGATTGAAAGCAAATTGTCTTGACACTGGGAAACCTTTCATACTGTTTGACTGCTCTCTGAGCTAGATTTTTTTGAAATAGAATTACTTCCAGATCTGAAGTCAGTCATTATAAGAGCTCAGTCACTCAGAAACGTTAATAGGAAAAGAGAGACTATTTAACTAATTAATGTTTTTTTGCAATCTGCCAGCTCTTAGAAAGGCAAGGGGTTCAATTGTTATGTTATGTTATGTTCCTCCCTTAGAGTCTGTGATCAAAGAATAGTGGTTGATTCAGTGTGCTGAGTGTGGCCTGCCCTCAGTGATCTGGAACATAATCTCAGCTTCAAAACTTTGCATCTTTTCCAGAGGAATAACATAATTTTTTAAGCTAGAGTTCATTTTGACTTATGAAATAATACCTCTGTTTTGTTTCCTTTATCAAGAGAATGTAAAGAAAAATATTTTTTCATCTCACTGAAAGTGATTTTTTTTACTGTCATGGGTTACTATTAAAATATTAACTCAGTTCATAATCTGTGTGATTTGGTCGTAAATCAGCAATCCATGTAACTTTAGAGGTCACATACATCACTGATAAAGAAAGGGGGGAAGTTTCTTCAACGGTCTTAATTTACTTTTCATTTTCTTCGTAGTAGCCACATTCTTACTGCCAAATAACCAACACAAACTTTTCTCAGTAAGAAAATTACTGCGTTGTGTAGACTGTAAGCGTATATCTAAGCCTAGATTTTTAATTCTTGTATAACCAACACTAAAATCACCACCACCTTCTCCTTAATGTTCTAATAAAGTTCTATACTGTATGTAAGAGCCTGAAAGAAGCAAGCAGTAAATTTTAAGGATATATACTTTTATTTAAATGGGTATGTACCATTTTTACTTTTTACTTTTAATAAAGCATTTCCTGATGTCATTTCAATGAAATGCAGAAATCTCTTTGAATGTATTCATCATTGTACTCATTCATTTCATCATTGAATGAAATGAAAATGTATTTCATTTCATTGAAATACAGCCAGAAACAGGTATGATGATATTGTTAGACAGTGTTTCTCACTTGAACTGAAAAAAATTCTTTTTAATGTCCTTGAATTAATGGTGGTCTTTCTTTTTGAAATATAGATCGATATTTGTGCAGAAGAGTTGGGGAATAATGTGAGGCCAGCTGCAATTTTATCAGGTGACATAAATGCGGTAACTAAGCAGGTAACGTAATGTCAGGTGTCCTTTTGTTTTGACCTTAATTTCCTCTGCTTTATATAAAATAAGTTGCCACTTAAAAAAAAACAACAAAAACCAAACTGTTCAAGGAAAACCATTTTTCAGGCAACATATTCATGCTGTGCGTTCAGTCTATTCCTAAATTAAATGTTAAAGATTCTGATTAGTGTTAATGTGATTGTGCTGGGATCTTTCTTGATAACATTATTATTGATGCTTGTGATTTTTTTTAAATATGTTGAAAGAAATCTATCTCTGCAACGTTTCAATGTTGTTCCAGCTCTTAGAAGAATTCAGAAAAAGGCCATGGAAATATCCTTCTAATTCAGAGTGGTGGAAGAGGCTAAGAGAGAAAATAATGAACAACGAGAAAAGATCAAAGGTAGTGTTATGTTAAAGAAAAGAGGAGGTTTCTTGCCTTGACAGGTACCAATGCATAGTCAGTTTTGTCACTCGTCTGTATCTAAGCTCCTCAATTACTTCTGATAGTCGTGTCATCCAGACTTTGAAAATTTATACCATTCTGGTACAGGCTTACTCTTGTCAGGCTTATGAACTGTAAGTTAAGTCTTAACAGTAAGTTAAGTATTCTAGGTTTTGTATAAATTCAATCTGTGTGGAAGTCATTGAACTTTGAGATTGGGTTCTTCAAGCCAGTAATAGAAGCCCACAGCCAGAGCTGCTGTATTATGGGCAGTGACTTGTAAGCAATGAGCAGGTCCTGCCAAGTGGAAGCTAGCTTATGTGAAGATACATTCTTAGTTTTCTTATGTAATTGTGCTGTTTAGCTGTTAAGCAAAGCTGGTGGAACTTGCTTATGTTAAAAGCAAGTAGCTATTAAGGCCAAAAGACCACAGATGCTTGGCATATGCCTAACTTTCTGCAACTTGTATTCTGCACGTCCAGATGCATGTTTCTGAGATTGGGATCTGAAATAAATTAATTCTAACAGATCATTCTTTTGAACTACCTCCCAGCACACAGATGACAGCTCACTTGGGGTTATCAATAGTCAAACTGATGTGCAGAAGATTTCACATGCTTTTCAGGTTAAACTGAGTTTTAATAGCTTCCTGTTAATGATAGGCCATCCAAGCATTACTGTGCCAAGTGAGCCTCTGATAAATACATTGTGTCCCCAGGACTAGGAACAGAAGGAATGACCTTGATGTAGCACCTGGAAGACCAAATGCTTCAGCCTTACCTAGCAGAGCGTATTTCCATCATGTCTCAGTTCTGCACCTTATGATGAATTCTATGCATAGGAGTTACTAATATCTCTTATTTTTAAGGAATTAGTATTACAGAAATCCCTGCCTATGAACTATTACACGGTCTTTCATCACATCAGAGAACTGATACCCAAGGACTGCATCTTAGTAAGTGAGGGAGCAAACACCATGGACATTGGACGAACTATGCTTCCAAATTACTATCCCCGTCAAAGGTGTGGTATTTTCTTTCTTGTGCTGACTCAACAGGCTAGGTCTATGTATAAATGGTTGCATTTAGCTGAGAAGTATGATGATCCAGAAATTTTGTAATCATTTTTAAAGCTTCTAAATAAAAAATAAAAGTTTAGTATGTTGGGAGAGGGGTTAAGGGAAGTTTTTCACTCACATACTGATGTCCTGTCGTAGATTTTAACAATGCTCTGTGACTTGTCAATGTGCTCTGCAACAGAAGGGTTATAGTTTCTCTTCTGTGGAAAGTGATTGAGAAGCATCATGTTGAATTCCCTGATAATCTAGATGTTTATTTCTGTGCTCAGAGTCTGTGATACTGATTTAAAACAAAAGCTTTGGGATTCTTATGTTGAAAAGAATTTATACAAAGAGTTTTTCTTTGAAACACACTTAAAAACAGGGAAAACGTAAGAAGAATGAACACATTCTGAAAATTGGATTATATATTGGGCATGCTTTCATGGAAACCTGCATGCCTAAAATGTAGATACTCAAGTTTGGAAGTGTTGATATGTCACATCGTTATGTGTGGTCTAGTTTCAATGAAAGTAGGAATTAAGTTTGTTTCTTGTATGAGAGGAAAAAGTGAGTTCTGTCTGGTGAGGTAAAACTTCTGATCTGACTGTGAAGCTTGTGCCTTCTTGTGAAAGTAGCACTAAAGTCCTAAATAAGCCTAAATACTTCTTTGTAAACAAAAAACAACCAACCAAACAAGAAAAACCCTACTTCTAGTAAAGTTGGGGGAAGAGGTTGCAGGTTTTTTCCCCCCTTATGTAAAATAAGGGCACAGTAATGTTAATGGTTGTCTTTCAGATTGCATTGCACATATCTGAAAGCAGATTTAAAAGTTAACCCTAGAATAATCTAGTTCTTTATGTACTTTTGTATCCATTATGTGCTTCTGACTGAAATGATCTAACTTAATTACAGCTTTCAATTTGATTTCAAAAGTTGAACAGAAGACTAAAATTTGAACAGCAGTATTTAACCAATGGCTTTCAGACTTCTAGTTATATTTTCAAGGAATTAAATATAGAAAGATTTCATATAGTCTGCCTATCTTCTACAGTAATTGAATGTTGTTGAAATATTGTTACTATGCAAGCTAAAAGCATACAAGAATAGTTCTGTATTGTAGTACAACTAGTGTATGAGAGCTCTTAATTTTAATTAGAGTTCCAGTATGTTTATATCACTTAAAACATTCTCAGTCTTATCAAATGTTTGACTGAATATAATAATCTATACATCTGGCATCACTTTATACCAATTGTTTATGAAACTGTATCTGAATAGTATATGGCAAATTATTAGAAGTAAAGATAAGTCACCATGGACTACCTTAAAAGTTTGAGTAGAAATAAAAGGATAGTAATTTTGTATTCTCTCTTTTAGGCTCGATGCAGGTACTTTTGGAACAATGGGAGTCGGACTGGGTTTTGCTATAGCAGCTGCAATGGTGGCTAAAGACCAAACACCCGAAAAGCGAGTCATCTGCATAGAGGGAGATAGTGCTTTTGGATTTTCTGGGATGGAAGTGGAGACTATTTGCAGGTAACTGGTTTTTGCTCAAGATCCTCTTCCTATATTTCCAGGATCAATTTAACTAGAAGGCCAAGGATGCTGCTGTTAGGTGGAGTACTCTTAAAAGCACATGAACACAAGCCAAAAATTATACATGGTCATTTTTATGCTGTTGTGAGATAATGTGTTACCGCTGATGAGTAGGTCATGTTTCAGGTGGAAGTGATTTATTTTTATTTTTAGTTTATTGTCCTGTTAAGGAAAAGCATCACTTTTCATACCTTACAGAAAGGTGCAAGTATTTCAGAATTCTTTCTCATGCATCTCTTTGTAGGTACAACTTGCCAATCGTGATTATCGTGGTAAACAACAATGGGATTTATGCTGGTTTGGATGCAGAAGCCTGGAAGGAGACATTGAAGTTTGGAGATCCTGCTACATGGTGAGTACCTTCAAAGCATGTCCTGTTAATTAGGGAAGAAGTGACCAAAATGGTCGTTCTCATGACTTTTAATGCCTTGTGATCCAGACTGAAATTTTACGTAAAGTGAACTTAGTCCTAGGCTAAGTTCATATAAGTAAGGACCAGTTACCAAAAGCAAGCAATCAACCTAATTCCAGACTATTGCTTACACAACAGAGCAGCAGAGGGATGACTCTCTATTCATTGTCCTAGGTTCCTGCAGCAGTTCCTGCCACACAGTACAGAGTTCATATTGGAGTAACCTCCAAAATTATGATAATCTCTAAAATTCCCTGTATTCTGAGTTTACACTGGACTTCTGCTTCTGGAACTGAGATCTCTGTACCCAGAGAATTAGGCTAAATCTTTGCTCAGGAATGTCTCTAGAATATGAAAATGCGTATACTAACCTATAAACATAGCTGGAGTGGTGTAGGAAACACAGTTCTTCCAGCCCAAAAGTATTCATCAGGCCGGCACAATAATCAGCTTACACTTCAAAATCAGTGCTGAAGTAATTAAATTGGTTGGTCTGGCAGTTCTTCCCTGCCATTAGTCAGAGGTTTTCCATTTCATTACAGTGTGCCTCCTGTTTCTCTCCTGCCAAATTCACACTATGAGGAAATTATGTCTGCCTTTGGAGGTAAAGGATACTTTGTTAAGACGCCAGAAGAATTGCAGAATGCTCTGAAAGCAAGCATGACTGACAAGCAAACACCTTGTCTTATAAATGTAATGATTGATCCACAGTCTGAGAGAAAGAAACAGGTATGTATGTGTTTTCCTTTCTTTTTCTGCAAGCTTCACGTGGCCAATCCTCTGAAATCCTCAGGAAATATCACTGAAACTGCAGAGAAGGCAGAGGTAGTTCCAAGGGAGAAAGATTTTCATTAGATTTGGGAGATAAGAGAATGGGTGCTTTTACACTCTGCAATCTGCTTTCCTTGGGTTTTGGTTTGCTTTTATTTTTTTTTTCTGCTGGCCTATTATTAATGCATAGTGTCTTCAATGAATGTTTCCAGAATTTATGGTTGTTCCTTTCCATTCCCGACAAAAAGAGATAAAACGTTTTTGAGCAGTCTTTATTTCCTGTGGATTTCATCTGGTAGTTAATACATATTTGCCTCCTGTTCCTCTTACTGTTTGTCCATTTTGATATGGTTTTTATTCTGTTGGGTTTTTTTCTTCCAGGAATTTCCCTGGCTGACTCGTTCTAACCTGTAGTAGAAGATGAAGATAATGGCGGTGCATTAAGCAAAACTAAATTGGTTTCCAGAAGTGGAACTGGTACAACTCTCTTTTACCTGAGCGTTGGAATAAAGTGGGATTTCAGAACTGCTATTAGAAAAATCTTTAAACACTGAAACTAAGTAATTGTACAGTGAACATGACACATGAATGTATACCAGGCCTTCTAGCAAATTGTGCAGAAGCACTGATGATAAAATTACATACTTTTTTGTTTTACTCAGAGTCATACCCATCAAGATTTGTGAATTAAAATCTTGGATGTTCTGGATGAAGGGAGTAAACTTGAGGGGTTTATACTGACAGAAACACAGATAGAAGTCTTTGTCAGTCTGCAGTTACAGTAACGTCATTTTTAACCAACCACCAGCATGCTCCTTGTTAGAGACTTTGTTTTATAAGGACAAAACTGATTTAGATTTTGCTTGCTTTATTGTCTATTATTCCATTGACATTAAGTTAGTTAACTAGTGGAAGGTTCTTAAATGACCCAAGGAAGAGGAGGAGTGGGCTGGCAGGGAATCCTGGCCTACAGTTAGGTTAGTTGCAAACACCTTGGCTTATTAGTTCTTTGGTCTGTGTCTGGCAGGAGGCCGTGGGTCCCCGTTAGGCAGAGGAATCTCTCTGCACACTCGTGCAGAAAGATGGTGTCTGACACGAGCAAGAGTAGCGCAGTCTGAGTAGAGGCACCGCTGCTTGCTGTATGTGTGGGAGTAGCCACATGGCACTATGAACACTTGAGTCAAGACATAATATATCCTTAGGAGGGCTAAGAAGTGCAAAAAGATAAAATCCATAGCATGGATACAACTCACGAATGAGTCCAAGGCTGCTGAGAAGTTGCTATGTTCTCTGGGGTGCTCTGCAAGGAATGTGGGACAACATTGGATCTTGTAACTCGTATTGTTTCATTCTTCTTTTTAACTCTCAAAAATAGATTTTAATATGTTACAGTGATTAAATACAATCCATTATGATGATGTAAAATATCTGTAAGAGTTAATGCTGGGATTTACCACAGGGAAGACTGTTTTCATTGGGTAAGCAAATGCAGAAATTCTTGGTTTATATTCATAAAGTAATAAAAAGTGCTTTTCGTACTGTTTCTCCTTCAGTTGAGAGTATTTGAATTATGTCAGCATTTTGTGTCAGCTGTTGGAAATCAGCTTATGTTGGATTTTTAGAAAAGTTGCTGAATAACCACAATAATATGCACAATTCATTTTAATGAGTCAAGATGCCTGGAAAATGGAAAGCAAGGAATTTGAAAATGTGGGAAGGCGATAACATAATTGATAACATCAGTTTGGATTTCACTAAGCTTTTAAAAGGCTCGAAAAAGAATTAACGCTGCATTTCCTATAGCTCTTACATAGACTAATACTGTGATACAACAGAAATTCTTGGATTGTAATTATTAGGGTTTTTGAGATGACAGAGTGCACAATTTCCATATGGAAACAAGGAGAGTTAAATCTGTTTATATGGCTTACCTGCTTGTTACCATGTTTTGCACCATAGAGTTGCACGGAAGAGGAGTGTTAGGCAGATGAAACTATGAACAAAACCAGTTTCAGGGATGAGACAGGAACAAGGTATTTCTGAAATGTCCTAATTTTATTAAAAGGAGCAAAAAATTACAGGTGTCATAAGCCTGGGGAATGCTGACGTGTCATTTTAGCCAACTGGAAATTTTTCTTCAAGGCCAGAGCACTGAATGAAAGGTATTGAACAGACTCAAAACAGCAAACTCAAGAGGAAGAAAATGTCTGGGCCTCAGATGAGGGAAGATGCTGTGGAAGAGGTACTGAGTGCAATTTACTGAGACATACCAGGAGAAGTCAGTGTTTAAATAAGGCACAGTTCTGAGTCATTTTCTTGACATAGCTTTCAGGTACATAAAAAATATCTGAAATTTTGCTATACCTGGTGTGGGTGACCTCCATCAGTTACTAGTCTAGTTCCTGTGACAACTTTTCTTATAGGGGTCTGCTCAGTTCATGTGGTTGGGAAACCCAGAAGTTCAGGCCAGCAGTACTTGTCCTTTTCAAAGAGAGGACACTGACGTGCATGAAGGGGGTTGGAACCTGGGAACCAACAAGTTTACAAGGAAACTACTACAGAGATGTCCAAACCCCAGCAGGTAATTTCACTGTGGATCCACGGGTGAAGGCATCAGCAACCACAACAAAATGGCCAGGTATAAGTTTAAGGTGCTGAGTTACGTGTTCCTGCAGCCTCTTGGTATGCCCAGCTTGCTAACAGGTTTAGTTTGCAGTAATTACTAATTTTTTAATGATTATGTTTCACCTTTAGTATGCAGAGAATTTTGTAGACTGTCAGCCCTGACATATGTCAGACATGAGGTATACATTTGTATATATGTCATGTATGCTTGTCTTCAGTTGTTGTGGCCATATAGCATATATCCATTTTGATGAGGAATGGGATGTGTACTTTGTCTGGCTAGATTTGTTCTTAAGCAGGTGTGCAAAATCCCAAGTACGGGTAAAAGAAGCACTAATGCATCTTCAGGCCTACCCCGCTCTACCCAAGAAACCAGCACACGCTTGCTGTTGCCTATGGTAGGAGTCCTATTCAGAAATGTGAGCGACTTCTGCACTGGCTACATCATTCCTTTGTATGTTGGAATCAAAATCCCCATTGCAGCTCTTTTTATGCTGTTTCAAGAGCTTGGTGGCTGTGCTTAGAGGAGAAAGAAGCTCGTGGCACTCCCTTACTTAGTGATCTTCTAAGGTCAGACCAGGTATTGGAGCTGATTGTCTTTATGACATACAGGCAATGTGACTTCTGCTGATGTATTTACTTATAACTGAATATTGTAATGAGCAAGAAACAGCTCTTCTGAAGGAGGCATTTGCTGTTTCTTTTGATGGCTTGACTGAAACCAGATGTCCAAGGTTTAAAGAGGCTCTCAGTAAAGCAGACCCTTCCAGCTAATTGTGGCACACACTAATATAAATGAGAATTATTTCAGTGTCTGGTCTTTCCAGGAATCTCTAGGCTGCCTGAAATAGTGCAGAAATAAGTAAGAGAAATTAACAGAATGACAATTTGCTTGCTTGAGTTAATACTCTAAGGACTTTTTGGGTTCCATCTGTCTTTTTGAGGGGGTGATAGAGAAGATAAGGAAGGACACTACTGAAAATGCTGCATAGAATAGATGAATCTGGAAAATTTTTTTATGTTTTCTCAGCTACAGGATGTCTGAGCAATCCAATTAGCAATCAGTTGTGTAATACCTTGGATTAAATTCTAAACTGGATGCAGAGAAGGGGTGTTTTTGAAGGCAGGATTTGAATTGCTGTATTTTGGAGTTGAAGAAAAGGATCAGCCACCCATCTAGGGTTGTGTAAATGACCATGGACACGTGAATGTTGGCAACTTAGAACATCTTTGCACCAAGCTGATGGGAGACTTCCTCTAGTACTTAGTGTTGGTAATGCTACCAAGTGAGGAAGACAATGGAAGACTCATCTATGCCTTTTATGCTCCACAACAACGTAAGTTTTTGTGACTTTTCCAGAAAGTAATCACTGTTCCTGGGCCTGAATTCCGTGCAGTGGTTTTCTGTTGCTGTCGTGGCATGAAACTCAGCATAACCTGCAAGCCTACCCAAGAACCACATTGTTGGGCAGAGGGGGCCCTTCTGTTGTCCTCCTGGTGGCTGCAGTGTGTTTGCGTACCTTAGCATCACCTTGCAGCTGCAGTGGTGACTGCAGTGCCAACACACACTCAGGCACTCGTCCAAGCTAGATCTCCACAGTGGCCAGACACAAATCCCTCTCTAATGAAATCAGCACATTAAAAGTGTAAAAATACAGCTGGCACTTTTTTTGAAGTGCTTGAAGAACATGTCATTTGTCTCCTTGGCACTGTCATTAAGATAATGTGCAGGTATGGCATCTTGCAGACCTTAGCCCTGGAAGGTGCTCATACCAATACTGGTGGACTTGCAGGCACACCTCGAGCTCCAGCCAAGGCAGTGCAAGGAGACATGGCTGCTGTGGTTTTAGTATGGAAGCCTCATCAGCCAGGCCATAAACCACCTGCTTGCTCTGCAAAAACAGGGAAATTGTTCAAGGGCTCAGAAAATAAGTAAAAATTATGGTAGGGAAAAATAGTATTTCAGCCCCAGGGGGGACTTCAAGCTCCCAGAGATAAGCAGATCATGCTAGGCCTCATGCTATGTAGTTGAAACTAGTGAGGCCTTTATTACTGAATTTAGTGTAAGAGCTGGTTTTCCTCAGTTTTCATCCCTGTGTGCCAAATTGCCACTTGGTAAGGATGTCTTAAATACAAATGAGTGAAGCTTTAAAAGTAGGACTTAGTAAGACTAATGCAGTCTTAATTATAGCTCCCTCATTCTGCGGAGGGAGCTGGGAAAATGCATTTGTCTAGTTTGATTAGGCTCAGCTGTTATCCTGTGTTTGGAGGATGACAACCCTGGCATACTGGAATGACTGGGCAATGTGCAGTGCCCAACGTTTGGCATGCTGCTGCAGCGGGAGTGCTGCCTGGGCCTCAAAATTTGGAGCACTGTAAAAAGGCAAAGCCTCTCCACCCAGAGACTGACCCAGCGCCCCTAGAAGTCAGCATGAAATTTGCCATCAGCTTACAAAAACATGGCAGCTTTAAAAAGTAGGTGTGGGCTGCCCAACAGATATGGTGCCAGAGAAGTCTCATTGAGTTCTGCTTGCTGTAGTGTCATGGTCAGCACTTGTGGCCATCCATTTTGGGGGAGAAAAAAAAAAAAAAGGAAATTTTGGCAATACTTCTTTCCACTGTGGCCTATATCTTTACCCATCCCCAGCTTTATACTGTTGGTTCTTTGGATAAACAGGTGAGTGTTGTCTTCTACTACTGCTCACCAGGTGGGTTCAGTTCTGTTCCTGGTTTTACGTTCTGCCTAGAGGTATCCCCGAGGGGAGAGGAAAACGGGCCATGGTAAGGGGCTGCATGATGCTATTTTGAAGACAAGGAATCTAAAGCCTTTTCAGGCCCTGGTTTGGCATGGCACCTACACACATGCTTCGTTTCAGAAGAAGCTTCATTGATTTCCCTTGCACACCTGAGGTTACACTCATGATTGAGCCTTCTCCTGACTTCTCCAGGTTACATTCTGGCTTAAGTCTTCTGATCGGTGGTGCTCTGGCCACTCATCTGATGGGGAAGCTCTGAGTGGTGCTCTGACCACTCATCTGATGGGGAAGCTCTGTAGAAGGCTACAGGGCCCATGCTAGGGGCCATTCAAGGTATGTATGCAAGGTGTTTGGATCAGGTTTGCTCACATGTTCGTGGTGTAACGGGCTATAGTGCAGTACAAAAATTGGGTGCTGCGTTGCCAGCATCCATGAAGGTCTCTGGAACGGAGAGTTCTGAGACCAGAGTGAGCGTTAAAGCAATAATGTTAATATTTTTTCCAGCAAGAATCTTCACAGAGAAAAAAAAGAAAATTGTGCTTTGTGGTGTTTAATTGATTGGGCTTTTTGGCAAACTAGAAGATAAATCACTTAAATTAGGAGTCATGAGAGCAAATTACTGCCAGATATTCTTCTGTTCTGTGCCTCCAGCAGCACTGCAGTTGATACTAGTGCAGGCAGTGAGTTCTGCAGACCTTTACTAATAGAAGTAAATAACAGCAATGGACAATCCAGATGAAAATAAGATGAAAGAATTACCCTGAAGGCCATTTCCATCTCCTCCAGATGAAAATACAAGAGCAGACCATGTTATAGCTGTAACTTGTTTGTGGTTCACCACCCTAGGATGCTAAAGGCTATTTATCCACTTACATACTGGTAACTAGATCTCAGCTGGCCTGGATTGTACACATGGATTTCCATGGGCATCCTCTTTTTACCAATGGAACATTTTTCTATTAATACATATTTCTGTGATTTTTACAGCACGTGTAGGCATCGTGGGGAAGCACAGGCTTTCTGCCTGTTTACTGCGTTACATATGCGGATGTATTTCTGCTATTCATGCCCTGACATTGTGCAAAATTTTATACAATCCTACAGCAAATGCTAAGCGATTTGCAGTTTGAAAGGCAAGGTCTAAAATGTAGATAAACAGGAAAGGGGAAGA